TAACCCCGATTAAATAATATTGGCTTCTCTATATCACAACTTCGATGATCTGGCCAATTAATTATAACATCATCAACTTATAATATCATAACTTAATGCTGGAATTAAATCGAATTTCTTTAAATTCTCCATTTGTATTTTTGTGCGCTTTTTAACGAAATAACAATGAAAGATATTTTAAACGAAACTATTAATGTTTCTTTTCTTTTTTTTTTATTATAAAAGGCGAATTTTCACGGGATAAATAAATAATCTCACTTGGAACGAAGCTTCAAACATTTGACACAATTTTATCGATGCAATGTTGGCAACGTGATGTTGCTACTAATCGATGACAAGCAGAAAACGAGTGTTTTTTGACGCCAGCCACTGTTTCAGTGAGAAGCCACCCATGGGACGATGAAAGAAGTGCCATTACCGAATAATGGCACCGAAGAAGAAGGCAAACGGAGCACAGAAAAATGGAAGAATAAAGCCACGTTATCGACAACATCGTAAACGGCCAAACATTTCACGCCGATTGTGTATTTACAAACCTAGCGTACGAGAAATAGTCTATGCATTGATGAACAAACATAACCAAGGTGCTTTGTTATGCACAATGAATTGTTATACTTAAAACACTTAGATAAGACTTGTCATTATCATATATAAATTTTAATTATCATCGAATTATAATTACATCTATTACATATCTATTATATTTGAATCTTTTGTTATTTTAATAATTTCCTTTTTTCCATTATTTGATAATTTCTAATTATCTGATCATAAAAATCTCACAAGTGAAACATCGAAGAGTAAATTTAAAAAGAAATAAAAGATTTATTTAATTGTTACACATATTATTATATAAATTCTATTGAAATACGAATTCTTATAGGACAAATACAATATTTTATTTATTTATTTTTTCGTGCAATGCAATATTCTCAGATCCAAAATTTAATTTAAAATTATTAAAAGATTTCTTCTGTAGAAAGAAATCACGAAAGACTCGACAACCCTTTTCGATCTCAACCCTCGTTGCTCCATCACCCGTTCGATAAAAGCGAATCGCCACAGTTCCATACCGGGAGCCCGAGAGAAAAGGGACGGGAGAGAATAAAACCATATTTCACGTAACATTTCATCCTTCACGAACACGATCGCGATCATGTACGTTTCAGAAAGAAAGCGAAGCAGAGCCGTGCGGGACGACAGATATCGCGGAAAAATGCGGAAATACAGGAATACTCGAGAGTCCTCGTGCGACAGTTCGTTTTGTGACGATAACTCGTCCGAAGGATCCGAGTACACAAAATCCGTGGCAACGTCCGTGGAGAACTTGTCGAGCGTGATGGACGTCGCAAATAGCTCGGAGACCAGCAGCACTGAGGACAGCAGCGCATCGAATATCTCGGTGAGGCCGATTGCGCTCGCCAAGGCGATCAATAACACTAGAGCGTTACTCAAGAAGAAATCTCTCGTCCAGGTCATCAACAACTACATCAAGGCTGGGATCGAGGAAGGTATCGCGTGACACCTTTCTTTTTTTTTTTTTTTTTTAATC